TTTTAATGTCACATTTCGACAAGTCCAACTTTAAAATCCAGACTTAGTGGCAGAAATAAGTGTTGTTGAATCTTCTTTAAAAATGTCAGTTATACATATGGGAATAAAAACTGACAACCCATGACCTTCTGGCAATTGAGTAATATGACTGGCTTTTAGTTGCGCCATTTCGTCATGTCTGGAAAATAAGGAAAACTTGGAAAAATTGTTTTAGTGACCTGGTATAGGCTTCGATAATGACTTTTCTTCCTTGTAACCATTGTCCAATCAACGCGGTGACTCGGACGTGATTGGTGTTTGCTCAAGGGAAAGATACCACTCGGGGATATCGATACAAAATAGCATTCGTGATTACAGAGTGCCATGATTATGTAAAAAACTATTCGGAGGTCAAACACGTTATTGTTGGGACTACCGAATTTGTCCACAACCCTTCTGTTTCAGGAGAAATGGGTTCTTTTTGCACTGGAGTTTTGTGGAGTCGACGTCAACGGCTAACAATAATTTGATGAATAAATAAATCAACCGGATTGGGTTTTGCATTAACCAGAGAATGTATCCATTTTATGGCAGCAGCCTATGTGGTTAAAACGGTGTCGGATTCAGCTGAAGTTTTTTTGTGAACAAGATATGCAGCAATGAGTTCATCCTGAGCTGGGTGTCATATTTTTACATTCAGTTATTTTAACCATTCGAGAAACTATCTACAATTGCACAAATAACTATTAATTATGCCTTGAGCTTAAGCTAATACAGCTTGGTTGAATATTTGCTCCTTCAAATCTTGAAGACTGTCGGGAAAGTTGGACCAAAATGGCAGCGAGAAAATTATCTGTAGAATGTCTAAACAGTTTCGATGCAAGTTGGATTCTTTACTGACAGCTAATGCCTGGAGTTCCCAAGCTTTGTCCTATTGAGGTGGGGGTGGCAATAGGAGCTGTAGTGCTTGCCATACCGATGCCGATGGGGAAGGGTCGTTGTGAGACGGGGACTTGCCAATAGGGGTGTATCTTATACAGTGAAAATTAGTGTAGCTGATTGTGGGTCTTGCTCCGAGTTTAACCCAGGAAGATGCGATGTCCAAGTTGAATGGGGATTCTCTGAACAAGTGACCTGGGATTCTGCACCTGAAGCAAACGTCAGCATTGGGCGTACCCATCAAAATAAAAAATCAAACTAAAGCAGAAGAATAGGGGTGTTTTAACGTGAAACTTATCGATAAAATGCGCATAGTGGAATTCTAAACGATCACTCATAAGAGTGTGCCGCGGGCCAGCGGCCTGAACAGATTGTATTGATTTGTTTTAATGGGGCTTTTAGCTACTCGGGCTATTTTCGCCATAAACTTTATTAATCAGCATTACATTACAGAGTTGGGAAGAAGGCCCAGTTTTAGAGGCAGGAGGGAACCGGAGTACCCGGAGAAAACCTGCGAGAGCGAGTATGGACTGGAAACCAAATGCACTTAAAAGCCTTGGCCAAGCCGGGACTCGAGTCCGGGCCTCATAGGTACAAAAAAAGGGAAGAACCGCTACGCTACCCCGCACCCCAAACTGATCTGTGTTGCCATGGACACTGCTTTTATTCGGCCATGTATCAATTAACCATTTGAATAGCACACGTCATGATTCCTTCATTTGAATAGCCTGCACACAGCTCATGTGACAGACACGGCGGGAAATCTCTGTCTTGTCATCCGAATTATAAAAACTACGTATTCATGCTCCTTCGCTGCGCTCATCCGCATGAAAAACAGTTTCAATTTATTGGGACATATACCAAAGACACTTTTGAAACCAGGCTTTTATTTCGGCTTTTATTACAGTATGGGAGATTAATGTTGCGCACGAACAACACAAAGATATTGTAGGGGCTTTTTTTTAACCCGAAAAGAAGCACGATCACCAGAATCTTCAACGACATTTTGACTGATTGAGCTGTCTGGATCTTGCTTGCAATTCCTGCTAGTTTTTATTCCTTTCAGAGCAGCTTCTTCAGTGGCTACGATTCTCTTCGTCTCCTTCGATGAACTATCTTTGAGAGCTTCTGTTGCAGCTTGAATATTGTCCTGGAGAGAGCTGACCTTATGCTCTCGTGTGATAGTTCTATTTCCCCGCCAAATTCGAATGGATCCTTGTTTCCGGGCTCAGTCAGCTCCTTCATTTCTAGTTTGTTCTTAAGATCCTTGACGCAGGATTCCTCAGTGTTTTTACTAGAATTAGTAATACTGCTGAATTTGAAGTATTCTTTGAATTGATCAAACAGCTTCTCTGAGTCGAGTTTATCTTCTTCTTCCAGTGACATCTCGAACTTAAAGTGTAGCTGCAATGAATTTTTCGTCTACATAGTTTTTCTGTATCTTTGCACTTTTCTTCAACGTATGAAAACTCTTACTCCTGTTTGGTTAAATGCGTTGAAAAATGCACACTTTTATACACTAAAAATTATCCATGTTTTCTCAGACAACCAAGGGTGCTGTTGCTGTGAAATCATCCAGGGAAGACATGGTTCGGTGCATGGGTATTTCTGTTCAAATTGTGAACTCAGAATGAACACACTGAAAACATTTCTGAGAGAAGGATTGATGGTTTCTTATTACCATGTACATGAGCAACAATGAATCAGCAAAGAGAAAACTTAGTCCAGGTAAACCTACAAAATGGATAGGAAGGGATATTTTCCCAGATAATTCCTAACCCAAACCATCGCTTAGCTATGTTTATAAAAATGGTTTCGGTCTACACAAGTTTAATTCTCATTATTTCTACCCTCCCGGCTCCACTACAGTCTCCACGTAGAAATAAATTGCACAGCGACACACCCTCAAATAAATTTGTCTTTTTTTCGAAAGCACCTTAAGTTTATTCATGAAATCAATCTATAAGAGAGAACGTCTCTGATTGGGATAGAGCCATCACTTCTTATCCATAAAATGCAGACAGTGGAATTCTGAAACGATCACTCAGCAGAGTGTTGTTGTTTTAATTGCGCTTCCAGCAACTCAGGCTATTTACGCCAATAAATGTACGTTTATTCATGCACTTTATTAATCAGCATCACATTACGGAGTTAGGAAGAAGGTCCAGTTTTAGAGGCAGGAGGATCAGCAGAGTGTGTAGCGGCCCGCTGGTTTTATACGACCATGCATCAATGAACATTAAATGTGCATTGATGCATTTACGACCATGGTCGTATAAAATCAACAGTAACGATCCCTTCATTTGAATAGCCCACGCGTAGCTCGTGACTTACACAGCAGATATCTCCACCTTGTATAACGTCATCCAAATCATAGAAACTACATTCAATTATTGCAGACACATCTCACTCAACTAGTGATTTATTTCAGATGATGAGATAGGTCAATCCAAGCTGGTTCCAACCGCACCTTGAATGGTTTTTTATCTAAGCGCCTTTACGTCTATTGCATGATCAAGTGTTATCTCATTTCTGATTCTTATCCAGGCCAGTCCTAGATATAAGTGTTCATTCACATTCGTCTTAAGTTGAATGAACATCTTAAATCCCATTCTAGTTTAACTCTAACTCAGTAACATATTTTTCTGCCTGTCAGAAGAAATCAACTTTGCAGATTAGAATTACGTTTTGCACTTACAAACTCAGGTGGAATAAAATGAAATAGGCCTATTACTTTTTATTCAGTGTTTGATTTTCTGTAACCTGCACGATGGTCGGTCCGATGGGAAAAAATAATACAGATAAATTTATGCATATAAAAACTTCTTACTGATGCATTTAAAATGGTGCTAATATTCTGCAATCTCCTGACACTCTTAGACAAATTGATTTATACGATGGCAGCCAATTTCATTCCGTGTTTACCCACAGATAAAAGTTCTACTATGGAGCTTTACTAATTCCAAGTCTCTGTTCATGGAAAGGTCCTGTTTTGGTTCGTTATTGATTGCTTCGAGGTCTTATTAATCTTTCATTAATCATTTTGTCCACAGTGCAATAACTTAGATAAATCAAGAGGAAAGGTGGAAGTCTATAGGGCATTATTAGAAGCGGGTATGAGCCAATTTCATGCAGTTTGTACTGATTAGATGATATCTATTACAACAATGTGCAGGTAGTACAGTGAGCTGCTGAACACGCAACATAATATGAGTGGAATGACTGGTATACAAGGAAAAGCCAAAGAGGGCGGATTTTCACACTTTTTTTTTGTAAAGAGGATAAGTATAACCTTTCAACCCTGATTCAAGCTTTGAATGATTTTCCATCTTTCATTGCACTTTTTAAATTTTAAAATCGACCAGTCTTTTCCAGACAAGTTAGGGCGCTGTTAATAATGTAAATACAGGAAGACATAGATAAGTCTTCAGGTTTTCATGTTCAAATTTTTAACCCCAAATTTACTTATCGGAAACGTGTCAGAAAACGTTGCCTGTTAGTTTATTATCACAAACGTATGCAACCAAAAAACCCCAAAGGAAATGGAAATCTTCAGTATTGAAGTTTGAAATATCTAGCAATATTCTGTGCACAAATCAGTATAATGTTGAGGTTCGGTGCCTCGGATTTATACAATACAGTTTTTCTCACGAATATGCACATTCATATCAGAACTAAACCAAGAAGATCCTAAAATACAGATAAAAGTGGCAAAACCAAAGTTAAAAAAAGGTTAATTGAAACACAAAGGTGCAGTTTAAAGGGTTTTGGTGAATAGTTCTATTACATAGTCCCTTTACTTTTTATTCACATTGGTGTACTGAAAAATCGAGTAATATTTCACAAATTTAAAACACTTTTTGTGAACCACTTTCAAATGCTCGTACGAACAAATTCAAATGAAGAAATCAGGTAACATTATAATAAACAGGATCTATGCCCTAAGTTATGGCCTTTTTCATTCTTTGATTTTCTACAAAAGTGCATGAAGATTATCACAAAATCGCAAATCCATTCACGGATATGATTCACTCGCCCCTCCTCCTCCTTTGCCCGAGCATATCCAACAAAACAAAGCTTACCTGTTAAAAGAGATGCTCTGCTGGGGGTGCATGTAGCATGAGAGTACATCCTCGTGAAACGAACTCCCTCTGCTGCTACACGATCCACGTTAGGTGTCTTTACCGTCCCATTGCCGTAGCAACCCAGGTCTCCATATCCAAGATCATCCACGAGAAACATAACAATGTTGGGAGGTTTATCAGTAAGTTTCTTTTGGGAAACACTTAAATGTACTAAAAAGTATAAAATGAGCATTACCATGTTAGTATTCATGATGGTAGTCGCTTGTATAATTCACAAAATGTGGTCCCGTTTCGCGTTTTATTACTAAGGGCATCACACTGGCGTATACAAATGCGAAGTCTATCGTTGTTATTGTGTAGATGCAATCGCCTCTCTTTCCTATGTCACGTCATGTGGAACAGAATTGGGGTTAAGACACAGTTTGCGCTTCTCTAAAGGAAAGATTGCACAACGAATTGAAATGTATGAATATGGAATAAGTGTTGACGCAAATTAGTCACTGTGGTCCTGCTGTAGCGCCCTCGTGCTCCTTACTTGGTGAAGCACTGAGAACAAAATAAGCAAGCGACCTCAAGCTTTAAGAAGAAATGTTTGCATTAAGCTTAGACTATTTTCCTTTGCACACACATTCATTTCAACATTGCCCTAAAAAGACACATAGGTAGTACATTGCTATACTTAAAGACAACTTAAAAACAAACTCCACGTTATTAGATCCAAAATGCATTAAACAATTAAATTATTGTAGTCTCCTTCTGTCTCGAAAGACAATGGATCTGCGCCGGAAAAAGTGGAACAGCGCCGGCTATGGCTGAAAGGTCTAATTCTGGAATGACAGTCTTTGTCACAGTGCCTGCACGTGTAGGCACTGGGCAGCAAAAGTGCGGAGGCTGCTCTCGCTCGACGTCGCTCCCTCTTGTCTTTCCACTGCTGCTTCCTTCTCTCCTCCCCTCTCTTGACACCTGATCTGACGACATGACGCCAGTTGTCGCGGTTGTCAGAAGCCATTTCCCATGAGCTTGGGTCGTTCTTCGCAGCCTTCATGTCCCTCTTGCACATGCCTTGAAACGCAGCATGGGGCGGCCGGCTGGTCTGGATCCTGCTGAGAGCTCGCCATAGAGGACGTCTTTTGTCAGGCGTCCATCCTCCATCCGGCGAACATGTCCCAGCCACCTCAGACGTCTGTGGGACAGCATCACAAACTTGCTCTGGGTGTTTGCCTTCTCAAGCACCTCGGTGGTCGGTACTCTGTCCTGCCAGGAGCTGCCCGAGATGCGCCGCAGGCAACGTAGGTGGAAACTGTTGAGGCGGCGTTCCTGTCTGGCATACGCTGTCCAGGTTTCGCTGCCATGCAGCAGTGTGATCAATACGCAGGCCTTATACACCGAAATCTCGGTGCTGACGGTGAGCTTGCTGTTTTCCCACACCCTCGTTGACAGGCGTGCTTTCTGGTCTCAGCATCCAGGGACAAGTTGCTGGCAATTGTTGAGCCGAGGTAAGTGAACTCCTCAACCACTTCAAGGGTGTGGTCACCTATGGTGATTCTGGGCGCTTGGCTGACGTCCTGACCTATCACATTTATTTTCTTCAAACTGATGGTCAGGCCGAACTCACTGCAGGCGTGTGCAAGGCAGGTAGTAAGTCTCTGTAGTCCTGCCTCTGAGTGAGAGGCCTTGAGTGAGGTCTTGGCTCGCAGACGAACGAGTTTGAAAAGTTTGAAAGTGGGCGAGAGCAGCAGCGAGAAGAAGATACCGAAAAGTGTTGGGGCAAGGTTGCATCCCTGTTTCACTCCGCTCTTGATGAGGAATGGGGCGGAGGATGAGCCGTCAAACTGTACTGTGCCCTGCATGTCGTCATGGAAGGACGAAATCACACTCAGCAACTTCGGAGGACATCCAATCTTCTCCAGGCGCCTGAAGAGACCCTTCCTTCTGACCAGATCAAAAGCCTTGGGCAAATCGATGAAGGCGATGTAAAGGGCCTGTTTCTGTTCCCGACACTTCTCCTGCAGCTGTCTCACCGTGAAGATCATGTCGATGGTGGACCTCTGTGCTCTGAAGCCGCACTGGTACTCCGGGTATACTCGATCAGCGAGCTGCTGTGACCTTTTCAGTGCAACACGAGCGAATGCCTTCCCCGCGATGCTGAACAGCGAAATACGTCTGTAGTTGTTGCCGTTGCTGCGATCTCCTTTGTTCTTTTAGAGGGTTATGATGTTTGCATCGCGCATGTCGTGGGGTATGGAGCCTTCCTCCCAGCACTGACACAGGAGCTCATGGAGGTGGTGTAATAGAGTGGGCTTAACCTACTGCAACACCTCTGCCGGGATGCTATCGTTTCCTGGAGCCTTGCTATGAGCGAGGGAGTCAATGGCCTTGCTGAACTTCTCCTCTGTTGGCGAGTTGTCAAGCTCCTCTATGTCGGGCAGACTGGAGATGCTGTTGATGGCCGTCTCTGTGACGACGTTCTCTCTCAGGTAGAAGTTTTTGTAATGCTCTGCCCACTGTTCCATCTGTTTGCTGCGGTCGGTGATGGTCTCGCCAGAGGATGACTTCAGAGAAGCTGTTTTTCTCGCAGTAGTTCCGAAGGCTTTCTTCATCCCTTCGTAGATTCCATGTGTGTTCCCTCTGTCAGCAGCGTCTTGAATGCTGCGACACAAGTTCAGCCAGTACTTCTCAGAGCAGCGAGGTGCTTAGTTGAGGGTTCCCTCTTGTAGTTCATCAGAGCTTCACGCTTGGTCTTTATAAGAGGTTCCATCTCAGGAAGATTCTCCTTAAACCAGTCTGTGTTTCGGTGCTCCTTCTTACCGAATGTTGACTGGGCTGCGCTGTGGATGGTGTCTCGCAAGAAGTTCCATCTCTCTTCTGCAGTCTCGAACGCCGGCTGGTCTTCGAGGGTTGTTGCAACAGCATCAGTGAACTGACTGCAGAACTCGGAGTCAGACGTCTTAGCAGTGTTGATACGTTGGGGTCCTGTGCGCTTAGACGGTGGATCTTTCGTGGCAAGAAGTGTACTTTGCTGCAAACTAACGAGTGGTCTGTGTCGCAGTCTGCACTGCAGAAGCAGCGTGTGGTGAGTACCCCTCTCAGCTGGGCTCTTCTAGTGATGATCAGGTCCAGCTTGTGCCTGTGGTGCGACCTTGAGTGCCTCCAGGACACTTGGCTTGGGGCTGAAGAACGTGTTGGAACGTGTTGATGCACAGCTTGCGGTAGGAGCAGAGTTCCAACAGTCTCTGGCCGTTCTCATTCAACTTGCCAATCCCGAAAAGACCAAGGCAATCAGGCCTGGTGTCATGATCTCCTCCCACTCTGGCGTTGAAATCCCCAAGCAGAAACAAGTGCTCAGAGCCTGGGATGTTGCATACAGCGGCATCAAGTTCCCCGTAGAACTGATCCTTGTCCTCTGACGCAGAACAGAGCGTTGGCGCGTAGACGTTCAGTATGGTGGCGGAGCCTGCAGAGGTGGAAAGTCGCAGGGCCAGGATGCGTTCCGTGCCGCCTGTTTGAGGTTCGATCTGTTTGAGGTTCGAAAGCTGGCAGCAGGCTGTTCTTGACATCAAATCCAACACCATCAAATCCTCCTCTGATCTACCCCGCCAGAAGAAAGTGTAGTCGTTTTCAAGAAGCATGCCACTGTCTGGGAGCCTGGTTTCTTGCAGAGCAGCGATGTCAACATTCAGTCTTAGAAGTTCACTGTTGATGATGGCCGTCTTTCGAGAGTCGTCAATCTGACGCAAGTCGTCGGATAAACCAGGACGCATGGTCCTGACGTTCCAGCTCACGAGTCGCAGAGCTGGCAGTTTCTTTTTTCTTCTTATTTTGCTTGGAGCGATGTTCCCGCCTGCTTGTCGAGTTTTCTCTCAGCTCCAGGCACCCACTGAAGCAGGCAGACCGTGGCGGATCGGCACCTTACTGGCCGGGGGCTGCCCGGCTTGAGGCTGGCGGTAGCTGACCAGTGGGACATGATGGTCCCTCCCTCCGGCAGAGGCAACTCGTAGCGTCCTGCCCTACGCCAACAGGTTGGACTTATTTCTCGTAAACTGCTGCCTCCCGTGTTGGTTTATCTGTCATACAGCAGCACCGAAGTGACCTCTCCGGGGCGCAAAACTGGGCAAGATGTATGGAGATTTAGGGCTGCCCATGTTCGAACATCCCCCTCTCGGCCTCGCTGATGTGGTCCAAAGGAAAGCGGAGCAATACATTTGGCACCAGGTTGGCTGCAGGAGCTGCCAGAAGGAAGTCAGAGATGACGTCCAGCTGCCTTAGGTGCTCTGGGCTGGATTTCTGTCGGGTTTTATTTCGTGGCCCTTCCTCCTCCTGGAGGTATCCGCAAGTCAGCGGAGGTTTGAATTCGGAGTTATCCTTCTCTTAGATCGATTGCCGACCAAGGCCAAGGAGCCCCATCCATCCCATAATTAAATTACCCCGACCTGGGACTGACAAGGAAAAGGACTATACAAACATTAAATATACAGAGACTAGACCGTGGCTGAATCCATCTATCCGATGGATACATTTTATAATTATTTAGTGGCATTTCTAATTTCACAAATAATTAAGTCAGCGTCATTTTCAGTTTTTTTGGCAAATGCAGGCATAGTTGGCAGTGATTTTAAAGCGTCATTCAGTTTGTTCCAACTTGAAATGTCATGGTTAACAAGATTATTTCTATGTAGGGCTGTTCTACTGAATTGAACATAGAAAGACTTTCTGGACGCACTTCGAGTATTACAGGAATGAACATTTGATGCAAGTTGAAACATGCATTAAAACAAGATGGTAATGCATTCGTATATTTATACATAAATGTACATAAGCAAAATTCGGTAAACGTAGGATTTTAAATTTGGCAATCAATGGAGCAGTACAGTTCTTTTTTTGCAACTACAGAATTTTTTTAGCAATAGATGTAGCCCCACCCCATCTAAAAATGGAATAGTTTAAATACGGAAGAACAAAGGAATTATACAGGGCAAGCAAAATACTGCTTGGCAAATAAAATTTTGAGCAATTCATTAGGCCATTTTTTAACTTTACTTGCTACATATTACAGTGGTCCTTCCAAGTTAAATGCTGTCAATGATAATACCTTAAAATCGAGTGCATTTTTATTGTTTGAAGTTTGTACCATTTACAGTAATTGGAATAGTTCGCGCATACCTCATCTGTTTTCCACAAAATATCATGTATGTAACATCATTTGATTTTAGTAAATTAAGGCATAGCTTGTTCTTTAAAAGCCATTTATTTATATTAATAAGCTCTCCATTGATATTTTGAATGGCTTATCAACATTGGTGTGACTATTAGAACAAGCTGGTGTCATTTGCAAAAAGGCAAACTGATAAAATATCTGATGTATTGCAGATGTCATTGATATCAAGCAAAATAGCAGGGGACTCAATACAGAACCTTGTGGGACTCCACAAGAAATAACATAAGCACCCGAGTTAAACGAATTATACGAAACAAATTGTTTTCTACGGAAGCGAATGAGTACAGAAGCGTATAAGGGCCACTTGCAAAAATATACTACTATATCGTCGCGTTATTATCTCGGCACGACGAGTTAAATCGTTGAATGTATATCTTGCCGCGGCGTCAAATTGATACCCCGTTGCAGCAAGTATTTCAATAGTTTACAATTCCTATTCAGCGCACTAATTTCAAATGTATCTTTAGGACAAAATGCGTTGAGATTTAGTTTTAGGCTGCTAATCGGAACAAACATGGATCTTACATTACATTACATTACATTACATTACATTGCATTACATTACATTACATTACATTACATTACAACAAAGCTTGTTTTCCAACTCAAAGGCAATGAAATTTTATTTTGTAATGTGAATTTCCACATTCAGATGAGGGGTGAACTGTTTTTAATTCCTTCCTACGTTTTCCTAGTCCCAAATACAAGCAAGCGGACTTCAAAGTTACATTCGGTCGAAAGACTTCCACCGGTCGAAATTTATTAATTATAGTACTTAAAATGGGAGATTCAAAACAGTACTTTTACAATCGCAATGCATGAAATACCTCACAGCTCTGGACGCTCAAACCAAATATAGTATAGGTGCACACGTGTCATGCGCACCAAGCCGGAAGTGTCGACCCTTATTTAGATGTTAATTAATATGGACTCCATCCATTAAAGTCTCGACAAAAAAAAGTTACGTAATTTGCCCTTCTCAGGTCCCTGCACTGTAAGGGTGGTTTGTGACAAGTGAACGTATGGATGTGTGGTCAAAGCTGGGGAGCCTGGATTTATCATGAATTTAGACGCGAATAATTTATACGACTGGGCCATGAGTCAGCCTTTGCCTTTTAAAGATTTCAGTTGGATTCAGGACGTAACTAAATTTACCCCAGAGTTCATCTCGAAAATTTATCCAAGAGCGTCAAAAGGTTATATTCTCGAGGTGACGTTAGATTATCCAAGACACTTACACGATTTACATAATGACTTCCCACTAGCCCCTGAAAATATATCGATCCCGAATGAATGGCCTTCAGGTATCAAAAGGATTTAATGGCAAACGGCGAGCGAATTACGTCAATAGATAAACTCGTGTCGAGTATAAACAACAAAAATAAATATGTGGTTCATTATCGAACTTTACAGAAATATTTAGAACTAGGCCTAGAATTAAAAAAGGTTCATTGAGTGATGTCTTTTAAACAGGAGCCCTGGATGAAAAGTTATATCGATAAAAATACTGAGTTACACAAATCAGCCAAGTCGGATTTTGAGAAGGATTTCTTTAAATTGATGAATAACTCGATCTTTGGCAAAACTATGGAAAACGTGCGCTATAGGATGGATGGGCATTTATTGAGAGACTCTCAAGATGACTAAAAATACCAGAAGTTAACTTTTAAACCGAATAACAAATCCACCACGCCGTTTAAGGGGTACGGGCATTCATTTGTGGAAATGTATCGAATTAAACCGCAGTTGAATAAGTCCATTTATTGCGGAGTAAGCGTGTTAGATTTAACCAAAACTCTTAATGTATGATTTCTATTATAATTCATTAAAAGCTGATTTTGGTTCAAATGTGTGTGTTTTATATACGGATACGGATTCTTTATTAGTTCAAATTCAAACCGACAATTTAAACAAATACTAACGCAAAAAGTGTAAATTATTTGACTTTAGTAATTACCCAACCGATCATCAACTTAACGATTCAAAAAACATAAGGTCATTGGCAAAATGAAAGATGAATTTGGAGGTCAAACAATTTCAGAGGTAATTTGCATACGTCCAAAAATGTACTCGATCTTAACGGATCGGCAAAATTTGAAAAAGGCGAAAGGCGTGACAAAAGTGGTCACCCAAAAGCGGCTAAGGCTAACACACGAGGCATATAAAAGGCCTATTTGAACGGTGGCAATATTTCAATAAAAAGCAATTATTTAGATCAGATAAACATCAAATGTACACCATCACGCAAAATAAATTAAGCCTTTCACCGCTAGACACCAAGTGGTGTATATTACCAGACGGCATTAAAACCTTATCCCACGGACATTATAAAGCGGGTGGTAATTCGGTATCATCAGGTACAACCTGAAGTTCTTCTTTGACAAA